AACTTCCGCAAGATATTATAGACTATAAATAATATTTTATGAGACAATGAATTATTCATTACTTTATTCAGATAGTGTGTTCTGTCACTCATTAATATGTAGTTGCATCTTACCCAAAGGAACCAAATCTTACTGATTTATTTTTAATTTTTTACGTTTGTTGGTACATGTTCATTTTAACAGTGATTACATTCATCACGGGGAGTTGGTAATGTGCATGACACATCTTAATTCTTTTCACTCCTCCTTACCCTCTCCTCTTTCTCACCTTCCTATACCTCTAGATCCTCTTCCCATTTGCAAAAGAGTTATCTCCCTATTTCATATCAGCTATCTCCTGTCTTGCTCTTTCAATTATTTATATTTTGGGCTTGTTTCTCATACAAGAGAAATCATGTGCTATTTATGCTCACATGTCTGATTTATTTCACTTAACATCATGGTCTTAAGGTGCATTCATGTTCCTACAGAAGACTCAAATTTATCATTCCAAAAGCAGTCACATTTTAAATAGAACTGAAGAGATTCCTTTTACATTTGTGATATGCACCATTTTATCTGCTTTAATGCTTATTTTATGAATCGATGAGCCCACCTTTAGCTTTGTGTTTGTGGGGCTGGAGGGTGAAGGGATTTCTCATCTGCTCCTTTCCCTCTGGGTCCACCCTGACACCTGGAGTTCATCCAGTCTGCTGAGCGAGGTGCCAGGTGGAAGTGCCTGCAATGCCTTTCTGATGAACTTGGGTGGCAGTTCAGCTGGGGGGCGGCCCAGATGGTAGACAATGGAGGAGGGAGCCCTCTGACCTGGCCTTCACTCCAGCTGCCCTGGCTCTTTCTTTATCTTGGGCAGAAGCACATGCGGAGCATTATGCAATAATCTTCTTATTTTTCAGAACTAAAAGAGCACAGCCAACAAAAGGAAGGAGAGGAAGTCCTTTTCCATTTTATCTCATTTATAGTAAGTCTGGATTGTAGCAAAGTCACGCACAGGGTGTTCTCAAAGCCACATAATTCCTGGCAAGTGGTCTCTAAGGTATTCTTCTTGACTAAATGTGTATAATATATATATATATATTTCATTTGTTGCCACGGTTCTTAACATTTTGTGAATCTGTAACATTTTAAAACTTGATGATGAAAGTTATAGGTCTTCTCCCCAAAATGCATAGGTATATCTCATGAAAATTTGCATATACTTTTGCAAATCCCATTCATGTTTCAACCAACAGGGCCTTGATAGGGTAAAAGGCCACATTGTCATGATTTAAAAATGTGTTACTTATGGTCTTATTCAGTTTATATATTATGTAACAATGATTTTTTTCTTCAAATTGAAAACCTGAAAAATTATGTAAGTTCATCTACAACTCAATGCAGAGTGAAGACCTCATGATTCAAGCCATGTCCTTACAAGGAACTTGTAATTTATACTAGAGAATATAAACTTAATTGTGACATGCCCAAGACACTGGTCTGAGTACAGAAGACCTTGACGGCAGGCTATGCTCAGCTGGGGGCCATGGGGACATTCCGTTTGCAGTTACTCTGAAGTTCCAGTTTTTAATCTCCAAAGCATCCCAGCTCATCCTGCTTATAATGTCCCCCTCATCTCAACTATTAACAATATTACTCACATTTGGAGGCTCAGCTTACATCATTCTTCCTCTGTGATTTTTTTCCTCTAAAGCCATTGGCAGATCAATTTCTCTTTCCCTTGTGTCTTTCCATCACATTTGTTTGTAGCTGGGTACTTTAAAGTGCTGAGCAAAGTCTATAACCCTTTTGTTTCCCATACTAGATGAGGAGGACTTGGAAGAGAGCACTTAGTTTCTTCAGATAACAGGTGATCGATATGAGTTTCAGAGGCAGTATATGTAGTGTTTAGGTACTTCGGCTCTAGGTAAAGATGTGGGTTTATTTAGCTGCTTATTTTCCAGAAAAAAACCTTGAATTTCCCAAGTATCAATTGGAAAATAGGTATGATAATAATACCCACTCCACCAGGCTATTGTGAAGATGAAATAATATAATACATAAAAACATTTAGCGTAGTGCTTTGATTATAATAAATGTTGAATAAAGTGTAGTTATATAATTTGTTGAGCAGCATTTTTGTCTTTATTATTTTATTTATCATTTGATTGACATAATTATATGTATTTTGGGGGTTCGATGTGATGTTTTGATTCATATATACATTTTGAATGATACAATCAGGGTAATTAGCATATCTACCACCTTAAACTTTTATCATGTCTTTATGGTGAGTATATTCTAATCCCTGTCTTTTAGCTATTTGGGGATATATACTACTGAGAGTTCTAGTCATCCGAGCATGTGAAGGAGCACCAGACTCACTCCTATCTAACTATGACAGTGTACCTGCTGGCCAGCCCTCTTCCCTCCCCACTTCATCTCTCCTCTCCCTAGCCCACTAGTCTACTCTCAACCTCTGTGGATTAACTTTTTAAAATTACACAGATGATTGAGATTATGCTGCATTTCTCTTTCTGAACAGAGTTTTGGTAAGGAATTATCTTTATCTTTTTGGAATTGTGTAATATAGTTAATAAACAAGTATAGGCTAAAATGAAGATATCGTAAACTTTCAGAAAAAAAATAAAACCTATTATTTTCAGGTCCTTTTAAACAACTTTTCCTTTCAATCTATAAAGTCTCATTTTAGCTGATCAAGTTTCAGCTAGTCTAGCCAGCTCTAGGCCACTGACAGCGTCCTTATGATCCAATGTGATATTGATTTGCTTCTAACACTGTCTCTAAACTGAAAGACAGATCTCTATCCTCTAAGAGATTCTAAGACTAGTTAAGCAGGTGACTTATGAAAATAGTATCCTTTTTTTTGTTTTGTTTCTTGACACAGGGTCTTGTTATGTATTCCAGGCTGGCCTTGAACTCACTGTGTAGCCCAGGCTGGCCTGGTACCTGCAGCTGGGATTACAGGCATGGTCCATCACGCCTGGCAAAAATATATCTTTTAAACATGGTTTTGAGCCCTCTACTTGAAATTCTCTCTCACCATTATCCTTCTCTTTCCTAGCAGGAATCAGGCCAGTCGTTTCAAGTGGATAAATTTCCTTCTGGAAAAAACAGTGGCTCACTGTACTGTGGTAACTGACATCTTTGGATGCAAAGAACCAGCACAGGTATTAACTTGCTAAAGATAAAAATATTATATCTGTATGTGCACCTTCAGCTAGCTCCTCAAATTCCTTCAAACCAGAGTTAAATTCATTTGGATTTTGCTCATTTTGAGCACCTGAATTTGAACAAATGTTTAAGGCCAGAGATTGTGTTTATTCCTCTTGATGCTCCTAGATTTGAGTTTTCAGCTGATATATGCAATAACGAATTTGCCGTTTAAAAATATACAAAATTATGTTGCATTTTTAAAAAACTAGAATTTAGTTGTTTTGGAATATTTATTTTTAATAAAGATATTGAAATAAAAATTATTAAAGACTATTTGGACTTCAAATTTAAGTTAGGAATCCATTTTTTCTGAGGAAATCTTTTAGTGTCCATACCAGGTAGATCAGAGTATCTTTCTTTTGAGAATCCATTTTTGTTACTTATCAGTGAGAACTTAATTCTTCACTATTAATAATATTCTACATTTATTTTCTTGATTTTAATGCCTTTAACATCTGGCATATTTCTTTCTGACTTCCTGTCTGAATGAGAATTCATTATGTGTCTATTTATATACTACATGTGAAAATAGTTTCATGACCCCTATTTTTTATGTGCAAATCAGTCAACAGCAGTAGATGTTCTTTTAACATTTCATTGACATGATTTATTTGATAACAAGAAATTAGAATTATGTAAGCATTTACATAATATGGGAATGGATCAAATAGAGAACCTTGACTGATTCCCCTTATCTAATAACAGACATGTGAAGAAGTCAGGAATTGAAATCTACTTTGGGGCTCTTAGGATAGTCATTCATTTTTCCTTAGTCATATGTCTATGTTTTATTTAAGCAATACATTCAGCTTTTGAGATGACTGGGAAAAATTAATTTTTGTTTTGTGTTTCTTTTTGTTTTTGTTCTGCCACCCTGCCCCTCTCCCTGGCCATGTCTGTCCCAGTGTTAGGTGCTGGCTGCCATGCAAGGTGGGCCTGTAAACTTGGAATGCTTATTCCTACTTGTGCCAGAAGCCAATCTCTTGGACAGAGAAAGGCTTTCTTCACGTTCCAGTTCTGCTTTATTGGAAATAAAGGGATCCTAGGCTACAGAATCTGGTTTAACACAGTTGTTCTGTGGGGATCTGTTAGGAATTCTTGGTAGTCCATTTTATTTTCAAAAGGTCTACTAAAGTAGAGATAGATGACTCCCTCATAGGAAATGATTTTGTTAGTGACAAATGAAGTTATCCAAAGAACCACATTAAAATTCTGAGAGTGATTCATTTATGATATAGGGCCTAATATCTGAAATGATGTCATAGACAAGAGTTCTTCAGGGCAAACTACTCATGCTGCTGAGTTATTTTCTGAAAACAAAGTTAAAAGAAAACTTTTTATTTTCTAAATCAGGCCCTTTTGTCTTTGATAACATACTTCTGATTCAGAAGCCAATAAAGTTTAGAAGGCCCTAGAGATTCAAGTCTGAATTAGGATTACACCTGGGAAGCTTTGCAAGAACTGGCCTCAGCTGGTCATCACATGCAAGCCAGTCTCCATAGAGACAGACATACTCGGACCATCATCAAAGGGTGGTTCAGGGATCCTGACTTAGGACAGTTTCAAACCTGCTTTGGAGTACATTGAATTCCTTGGATATCCTTGTACATCAGTTTAATCTCCTTTGGGGGAGATGCCGGACCTATATCGAATCCATGGTCTTTGAATGTGGGCTCCATCACTGAGGCTGACCTTCAATGAAGGTTGTCTCCAAGGGCAAGATCACTTCCAAGCTCTGGGCCTAAAACAAGGGACTGTACGGTGTCTGGTGCCATGTTGGGCTCCCTTACCTGATACAGGTTGGCAAGGTGGTGGTTCGTTTTGATCAAAAATGGCTGGTTCACTCCTGGATGGTCAACATCGTGTGCTGCTGCGGCCAGTAGTCCAAGCATGATGTCCAAGGGTGTGAGGAAGCTGGCCAGCTGTTAAAAAAAATCAAACTGAGAGGTTGATGTGCTTCCACAAATAGGGTGACATTAGTTTGGGTTAAATCAAATAGAACGAAGCATTGTTTAGGTCTGTCAGCAGACCTTTACCCTTTGAGGGATTCAACAAGGTAATATGCACATGGAATTGCAGGGAGATATAGAAGGGCTATATGGAAGGTAACTGAGTAAACTCTGGTTGTGTAGATCATTCAGGTACCCTCCTCTTCCTTCTGCCACGCTATTTTGTTCTGTTGTAATGGCATTGCTTATTAGCAACTCTGCTATCTGGTAGGCAGGGAGATTGAAATCAGCCTTGCTCCTAGAGAAAGTTGTAAATGAAGGAAAAAGTTGAAACCAAGGAGATGGACACACTGAAAGAATCATTTCTGTGTTTCAACTAATATATCTTTCCCACTTCTTTGAAAGAAGTGGGCTGAATTGAAAAACTTGCATACTTCATTAATATGTAATAAATAATGGGGGAATGTGTGAGAATATTTTGTTTTTTGGTTAGATAGGAGAATAACCAAGGAAATGGGAATCCAGTATGTGATGTTATAACTTTTGGACTTTTTAGAGGTTAAAAAGTAAAACCATTAATGTTTGGGGGATATTTTATAGGTATGAGACATCTACCCAGATTTGTCCTAAGAATGCCTATTTCATGTCTGTAGATTTATGTTTGATGTTAAAGCATCTTTATATTTAGTGGGTTGGTAAAATTGATTGAACCAAACAGAGCTGTGGACTGGAATATCATTTTCCAAAAACCACAGGAAAACTCATCCTGTACATTGTACCAAAAACCTAAATTTTAGCCAGGTGCAGTGGTGCACACTTGTAATCCCAGATGCTTGGGAGGCTGAGGCAGGAGGATCACAGGTTTGAGGCCAGTCTAGACTACAGAGCAAGATTCTATCTCAAAATAAAAAAATAAAAAGAGTTGGAGATGTAGCTCAGTGCCCATGGATTCTGTCCCAAGTACTGCAAAAACAAAAACAACAAAAATAAACCCCTTAAATTTTGTATAGCTAAGAATCGCTTTAGATTGTGAGTAATGAACATTATCATTATGTTTTTATTTTTAACACTGGGTGCTTTATTGTGTCAGAATATGCTTATTAAGAGGTCTCTGACATTCACAAGTTTTCATGATCTCTGAATTCAGTTGGCCAAGGAGGAAATGGAACTTGACCTTTTTAATGGATTTTGATTCCATTTGTTGACCAAAAACTATGAGGTAGAAAACTTTTTCAATAAAGTTCAATGTCAGGGTTGTTTGTGGTAAACGTCCAAGGCACAGAGCTAGTTTTTGGGACCACTGAATACATCTAGGAGGTAGATTGCCATGGAGAATGTTGCTTTTGTCGTAATGCAGCCTTGAAAATATGGAAAGGAACCTCAGAAATTCATATCCCTTTTCATGAATATTATTAGATTTTCAGAGCTGATACTGAAACTTTAATATAAATAATTTTGCATTCATATTGTGAATGACTCCTAACATACTTGTTTGGATATGTTGGGTAATTTGGAACCAAGCAGGTAGTTTACTTTGTGTTTCCAGATGGCTGAGGGAGTAGCTGGGTCTTGCTTTACCTTTGGCTCCTTCAGGTAGCAATGCATGGCCTGGGTGACGTCAGCGGCATGAACAGCATTGTGATATGGGTTTTGGCCATGGTAATCTTCTTGAACCATGACTAGGAGGTAAACAGATATCTCAGTCAGCTAAAACCAAAATGAGACTGACATACTAGATCAGATTATTGAGGATGCTTTTTGTTAAAAAATACTACTGTCTCCAAATGCATGGCCTGGGGATCCTTTAAAAATGAAGGTGGTTTGTAAGCTTGGCAGTTTTACTGGGCTGCTTGAAGTGGAGAGGAGGGGGAGATTTGAGAGGAGAAAGGCCAAAAGGATTTGTGAGGCTCTTGGGATTTCTCACCTCCCTCATAAATCACCCCTTTCTAGGATTCATGAAGGCCCTCATTCATAGAAAAAATAAATATGTAGGAAAAGGACAACTTTATTTCACACCATAGTTTAATTATTTAAGTTTGCTGCCATTTATGAATAATATGCCATAAATGAAGCTTCCTTTCAGAGCCCTGGTAGCATCAGATTCCTAATACCCAATGACTGCATTACCACCTGAATAATAAATTCTGACCCACACAGATCTGAGGCTTCTTCAGTTAGAAATTTAGAGCACTGCACTGATCCAAATGAAGCCTTCTTGGCTTTATTTCTACCTTATTCAAGGTCAGGTGGCATCTCTCATACCTCTGCAGTCTAATGCAAGGCCCAGAGTGCTCTTGGAACCAAGCTGAATGATAGGTGAGGCAGTTTTGGCTCGCCGTTTACCGAAGCCACTAGCCTGCTATGGCCCAGAACCAAGTCAGTGCTTAAGATGTGATACATTTGGTGTGGACAGCGTGTTCAGATTTGTAAGTGTGGCCATATTCTCTGCCTGTGTTATGAGCCTGGCTCTGGATTCTGGTGGTAACTCAGTTACTAAGACTGCATTTAAAAATGTTCTCTTGGTACATATATGTGTCCAAAGAATCTGTATCTGTATCTTCTCCTTTAGACAAGTCAAAATTATTTGGCCTTATTCATGGCCATTACTTTGTTCAAATAATTAAAATGCAATCAGCCTGAGGTTCTTTATGTTTCTGGCATGAATTCGTGTTTTGTTGGATATTTCTGTTGTGCCACATATACTTTTATTTAGCAGCTTTGTCTCACAATTATTTAAACCCTGGCTCTATCACTTATTATGTGTAGTGGGCAAATTACTTAATTACCAGTTTCCTCAGCTTCCTTCTCTTTAAAATGAAAATAACAGCAGTGCTGAGCTTAAGGTATTGCTGTGAGGATTCGATGTGTTAATACATGCTAGACCTTGGAATAGGTCCCAGAAGATGTGAGCACCAAGTAAGCCTGGCTCTGGAGGCTGTTGTTATTTTACTCCTGATGACAGTAATTCGGCTTCCAAATTCAGAATGCAGCCATGTGGCAAGTTAAAGAAGCTAGAAACATGCTAAATGGCAGAGGAAGCCATTTGGTGATTAGAAATCTTCCCTGGATAATTCATTGACAGATAAATAAGAATATGAACAAAATCAAAGAATAACCAGGACTGCTTTTTGATTAAAAGTGATGGCCCAGTTGAGTGGAAAGATCACAGACTTTCAAGTTAGACAGGTCTCAGTGTGAAGAGAGGTCCTGCCACTTCTTAGTAACTGGTCTTGGGAAAGTAATGGAACCTCTTATTACCTCTCCTTAACTGTGGGCCAAGTGGTGATGATAATGTCCAACCTGTAGATTTGTTTAAACGGTTAGAAATAGCTTACCTAAAGTACCCTGCCCATAGTGGGTGCTACATAATGGTAGTTTTAATAATTATTTTTAAAAAATGCCTATTGAAGATTTTCAACAATTTTTGTGCTGATTAGAATTAATTGAGAATACCCTGCTGGTTTTTTTTGTTAATAAAGAGCAGATTAGAATCTTCTTTGACAGCTGTATGTTTTTTGATGGTTTTGTTTCGAAAGCCTGAATCTATTGTAAAGATAACTAATCAAGTAGACAATTTATCAATGATTTAAGCTAGGTAAATCATGTTTTAAAACGAAAGTTTGACCATTGAAAATTAATTTGAGGCCTTTATCCACTATGCTATGGCTCTTGCCACTTTATATGAAACAGTATTATGGACTGTTATTATTCATGGGGATGGAAGTAGGAATATGGAATGAGGACTTACCTAAAAACCTGTGCAAGGTCACCATATCCAGCTTGAAATGGTGAATGAGTCCATGGGTGTTGAAGAGGTGGCACAGCAGTGTTACCAGGCTGTTTCCTAGAGGAGGACAGTCATCTGCTTTAAATAATTTTTATCACCACTAAAATATAAAGACTGAAAATAAAGATCCAAAGTCCCTCTGTAATAAGGCTTCTTTGACAGAACCCTCCTCCCTTTGGATCTGAAATTATTCAAGCATAGAGAATATTGTTACTATGATTTTCTCTTATTCTACAAATAAAGTTAGCTCAATCTTCTCCCTATACCAAAGGAAATAAAAATATTAGAACAAGGAGTGTGCCTACTGAAGTGTCAAGAACACATGTGTGGGTATATAAATATATGTATATACTTAAAAGACACAGTTAATGGCTTGAAATGTAACATTTCCAGTTAACTTTAATTTATAGAGGTATCTAAACCGTGGTATTTCTTAACAGTTGCAGCCTATTTTTCTTCCTATGAAAAGTCACCTGAGAGGAGATCTGACTATAAGATATTTTAGAATGCAAACCAGCGGAGTTGTAAACTTGAAACTATAATAACTTATAAGTGTTTAAGAGCCATTGTTTACTTAAGAATAATGATTTTGAATTTAAAAAACCCTAAAGAGTTTAAGACTTTGAAATGGACTGGCCTGGCTGCCTTGAATGGAAAACTAGAAGTACCCTAGGCACATTCTTTCAGGGTATCTCATTCAGTGGGTCTCTGCAAATTTATATTGATTTTGAATTCTTTCACAACTCTCAAGGTAGCAATAACAAATAGCATCGCCAATGATTCGTGCCCACAGACTCATAAATGAAATTGGTCTGGTAGAAATACAACTAATTTCCTCCACTTGATTTTTCCACTACTTATAAATTCATTTCAGCATTTCTTTTTGCATATAGGTGTGTGGCTCTTTGAATTCTCCTCTTGTACAAATGATAGCATCTTACCAGATCTCTAATTAATTGAGTTAATTAAATCTTTGATATATGTTCATTTCATATTTTGATTCCAATCATAACTGTATTCTCTTTTAAACAAATAGTATTTGACAAATTCTTTTGTCAACAGTTAATTTCATTTGTCAGTATCCCTTTCTCAGTTGATTTGAGCAAGGTGAAATGCAAAGTTATGGGATCCATCGCCCTAAGTCCAGTTGTCTTTCCATAGTGTAAAGATCCATCTGTGACCTTAACTGCACATTGTTTGCTGAGTAATGGAATGATGACAAAATCATCTGTAATGATTTAAAGTACAAATTTGGTAGGTGATAAGACATACCAACATCCCCAGTAAGTCTAACATCTTTCATTGGCTCCCTAAGCTTATCCACGTTTGTTTAATGGACAGATAAAAATATATTAAGATGTTACTATTTTCTTAAGGAAGGCTTTTATGGGCTCCAAAACTTAAAAAGTGAAACCAATAGGAATGTTCACTTTCTTCTTCAGCTGCAGCTTTTACATTCTATTCCTGGCAGTTGTTTTCTTCTGATGTTGGCAAACATATGGGAGCATTACCTGCAGTAGGGCAGACTCAGAGCGTTTTAAAATGCTGCACAGCCTGCCTGTAAGTCAGGACCAAGGAGATGTGCTTTTGTGTTTCCAGTTTTCATCGGCTAACAATGAACTTCCTACTTTTGGATGTGGCCAAAGTATTTTGCAAAGAAAGAATCTAATCTGCGGTTTCCTAATTCCTTTGAGATTATCAAGGTCAGAAGGAAACTGTCCTGATTCTAAGGCTAAATGCAGTCCTCATTTTTCATCTAAATCATTTTTCCCTTGCTCTGGTTCTTCTTGAGAGATTATAGATTTATGAAAGCGGGGAAAAAAGGAAAAAAGGTTAACATGTTTAAAAATAAATTTTGTGTCTCATGAAATGAATCCCACTTTATGGTGTGTATTTTAGTGAGAATTCTTTTGGGTAACTTACCATTTGTCAAGCGATCAAACAAGAAAATGTCAAAGTCCCACATTCCCACTTTGGAGAGCATATGCTGAAAAGGCAAACAAAAAATAGCACCCAAATGAATCACATCAAGAACTAAACATTTACTTTGAGACACAGTGAATTAAACAATTAAGAAGTTGGAAATAGCACACTATTTTCTGTGTACAACTGGTTTGGAATAAATCAAATCTTACTCTACTCTCTAACGACAGTTTAAGGGACAAGCTTTGGACTTTAACTGCTTGACACTGTTACCTGTGTCTCTCCCTGGTGGTGAGACCTTGGCTACAACCCTCAAGTTCTCTGGGCCCCAGTTTCTTCACTTGGACAATGTGACTAATGTTATGGACCTCAGAGGACTGACTAAAGAAATACTGCAAAGCGCTTGATGTGGGGTTCATGCATGGTGAGCCCACATGTTGGTGTCTGTTAAACTGTGGTTCAGTCAAGTCTCTACACCACAAGCTACTGTATACAGAAGGAAGAAGGATTGTGCAGCGAAAACAATTGCTGAACACATTATTCTACTATGTGGCCTGAATGCGAAATTAACCATTGCATAGGAAACTGAAGAGGAGGTCACTGAAAATATTGGATAATTTAAAGGCTTATTGTCTAATGCATACTTACTAGCTTTTCCTTTTTAAAACTATCCCATGCTTAGAATTGGCTGTTGATACAAAAGCCCCAGTTGTAGAAGCTATCCTTTCTAAAGTTCCTGAAACTGCACACACCTCTTTCCACACAGCTTATATTTGAGGAAAAAGTCCAGATGTGTTAAGTAACTAACCCAGAGTCACAGAGCTCCTCAGAAGCAAAGCAGGACTCAGACCCAGGTGTTGTCAGCTGAGGACAGTCTGAGCCACCTGGCTACTGCAGGGAGGCAGAGGGGTGACTGGCTTACCCTGGCCTGTCCAAGGTAGTCTTCATCCAGCAGGTGGAGAGGGGCTTGTGGTATAATGCCACGGAGCAGCCTCGATGCATGGAAATATCTTTGGAAACTTAACAGTCTTTTCACCTTTCTCCTGGTGCCAATTTCCCCTGAGTGTGTTGTATCTGTGGGAAGTAACCAAATGCAGAAGTTGAAGTATTTAAAAGAGAGCTTATTTTATCCACTGTGTAAAAAATGATGTATTAAAAGGAGGGAAAATTAAAGGATGCTCTCAGTACTTTGAGGGCTAATGAGTTAAATATAGTCTACCTAATGCTATATTGGAAATTCTTCCAGAACATAAATTATATTTCTTTATATGGCATTTATTAAAATGTCAAGATATTTATAAATGTACTTTAGGAACACATGGATTATATAAATTAAAATTTCAATTATTTTCCTGGAATGTGAAATCTACACACTTCTGCATGCATTTGAAATAAGTATTTTTTTCCCGGTTGTACTGGAACTAAGACTCAAAAATTTAGACCAAGCTCTCACTCACACTCTCTCCATGCTGATGAACTCTTTCACCTGAATTGGAAGAGCTGTGAGGGAAACATTTTCTAACAAGCAGACAGGATAGAATGCTTGCTTTCTCCCATCCAAGTACTAACCAGGCCCAGCCCTGCTTAGCTTCCAAGATCAGGCACGTTAGGGTGGTATGGACTTAGACAGGATGCTTGCTTTCAAAGGGAGTATATTCTCTTTCACTGGTAGCCATAAATGTCTGATGTTGGCAGTAGAAGTATTTTTCTACTCATATCACTTGACTATGACATCACGGTTGTTGTCCAGAAATGTGCCAGGTGCATTATTTGAATGTCTATCAAGGTATGTCTTATCTCAGCCCAAGTTTTATGAGTCACTCTAGGGCCACATAGGTGACATCTGGTGACGGTTTTAGACCTAGAGATAATTTAACAATTTAGTAGAAAAATGTACAGCTCACATATAAAGTAATTTTGGTTTCTGTCATAGCTTTTCCCATCTCTCTCTTTCCCCCTTGGAACTCAAAATCACAACAAATGCCAGCAACAGAGGAAACAATGGGCACTCTTGATGACAGTGAATGACTAGCATCAGTTCATTACTTAGGTTGTATTATGCATGCAAATTCGGGACTGGCAAGACCTACTGTCCTCTGGAAATGCTGCCTGATTAAAATTATTTTTATTTTAAAATGGATCTAGATTTCATCCATGAAAAGAGAACAAATATATACAGATAGAGGTAAGTGGAGTATAACTGAAGTGTTTAAGCACACTTCAACATTAAAAATGATGTATATGGACTCCATTCTGCTGGTGGGTTCTCATTTACACGATTTTATTAAATCAAAGTACAGGATAAAATGATTCATTCATTCATGTTAAAAAATGAATGCTTCCTTTGGAACGTGCACTCTTCTAGATTCTTCAGTAAGTTCTAGATACCACAGTAAGAAAAACCAATATCTCTTCCCTCATGAAGCTTACATTTTGGCAGAGAAAGACAATATATAACATAAAAATAAATTATAAAATCTATTAGAAGGAGGTAAATATAGTGGGGGGAAAATAAAGCAGAAAACAGAGGATCAGAGGTTCTGTGTATGTGTGTGTGTGTGGGGGGGTGGGGGTAGTCAGCAATGGCTACGAGAGGGTACAATTTGATGAAAACTTGAAGGGGATGGAGTTGGCCAAGCAGGTATCTGGAGAAACACTTTCCACACAGAGGAACCAGCTCAAATAGCTAGCAGGATTAAGAGTTTGCCTGGTCAGGACCTTGCAGTTGCTGTGTTTCCATGTGGGTGGAGAGGAGGGGGGGGGGAAGGGGGGGAGAGAGAGAGAGAAGGAGGAGGAGGAGGAGGAGGAGGAGGCGGCATGAAGAAGAGTAGAGAAATTATAGGAGCCAGAGAAAGATCATTGTATGAAGAAAACCGAGAAAACATCTTTTCTTAGAACCCTAGTGAAGTGCAGCAAGGAGGAAGGTGTGATCTCAAGTATCTCAGGTATGATGAGGACTCAGAGTTGACCATGAACTATATACTTTAAAAGGGCACATTTTATTGTATGTCTACAAGCAATATCTTCCTGAAAGCAATGAGCACATCTAGCACCCAAGTTTTGGTTTTTAAGTACAATTTTTTGTTAAAAGGAATCAGACCATGTTGGTGACATGGCCAGTTCTAGGACTGGGACAGGAAATGTATGAGATGAATGGTAACATCTCGTTATGCCAGAATAAAGGAGCATTTAAAAAATGATAGACTCATTCAAAAATGACAGAGGAGACAACTTGTAAGGGGCCCTTCTGAGCAAGTATGGGGAAATTTGAGCCTCAGAATAAATAATGGAAGAATATATTATAAACCATTGACTGAAATAGGAATCAATGAGTCCATATCATAATAAGCAAGTAAGTGAGTAAATAAATTAGCAAGGAAAGCTTTTCTTTGTAGAACATGCCAATCAATACATATAAAAGAAATAATATAGTTGGAAAATTATCATTTTGCAGCCATCATAGTAATAACCAAATCAGGCCAGAATCCTTAATGGATACTAAAATTATAAAGGAAAACTTAAAAAGCTGTGAGGATAATTACATAATTTCAAAGCATTTCCCTGCAGATGACTTAGTGGGAGAGGAAGGGAAAAATGGCAGTTGTTAGCGACAAATTTACAGGGTGCACCATCTTCACTAGCACTCAGTACTCATGGGAGAGAGAAACTGACATTTTGCATTTTCTGGTGTAACTCACAAATTGCAGTGCTCCTATCTCAAAATGCACATCTGACTCCAATAGTGAGGAAACATCAGAAAAACCCAGCTTGAAGGATACTCTATGAAACAATCAGCCTGTCCTCTTAAAAAAATGTCAATGTCATGAAACATAATGACAGCATCAGGTATTGTTTCATAACAACAGCTCCCAGAGATAGTACACGAGATGTAATGCTTGATCCTCAGTTGGACCCTGGATCAGAGAAAAATTTCCATAAATAACATTATTAGGATAATTTGTGAAATTTGGATATGGATCTATATATGAGATAATAACACTGTATTTATAAATTTCATGAATGTGATAGTGGGACTACACAAAAGAATGCCCTTGTTTTATGAGAAATAGAGGTTGAAACATTTAGAGATAAAGGGACATGATGTATACAACAAATTCTCAAGTGGTTAAGACAGGAATCAATACCAGTAAGGCAAATATAGCAAAATATAACAATGGTGCATATGGAAAAAGTATATGATTTGTTTGATTCTTGAAAAGTTTATATAAATTTTAAATTACTTAATGATTAAAAGTGTAAGAGAGAAAGTGGGAAGACAGAAATTTTAAACAACATCAAGTACAGACAATTATCATAAGGAATTCTACTGCCTAGGGCAATAAGAAGTGTGATGTTAATTCCATATAGAATGAAATCAGTTCCCTGAATGAATAAATGAAATCAATTATTTCTATGTTACGTATAAGGTAAATCTAAAGGGAAATATTGACTCAAGAATCCATTCCTTTTTTATATTCTATGAAAACTCATATTCTAAAATACTACAGGAAAATTTCCTTGTAATTGACCATATGCCTGTATGTATATAAAAGAATCAGAAGTCAACAAGATAACCTTGAATGATGGAAATATGCCACAAATATAGCAGATTGAGATTTTGGACGATTTATTTTTAAATCTTCTATTGAGTTTTCCAAGTAGTGTAACACTTTAAGCAGATTCATAGTTAAGATAATTGTATTTAAATTAAGTTCCATTTGGTAAATATAGATGACAGGAAATAATGGTTACTATTCACTAAAATTCCTATTTGGACAAAAATACTGTATTATCGAACCAATGATCATATGAGCTGGAGATATTAAGGTTGGAACCATTTTTATCCTTAAACCAAACAAGAAAACAAAAATTTTCACCTTTTCCTTCTATTTTTTAAATGTTGTAGTCAAATACCCATCAACATGACAGACTATAGATCTTTTTTGATTTTTACTTAAATTTTTTATATTTTATTTCTCATGGATTTTTTTGGTGGTAATTTTAATTTTTAAAAGTATTGCACATGGATGTTTTATTTCCTGATGGATTCTTGAGTTATTTGGTAGCCTCTTAAATTTAGAACCTGAAGGTATTGCTTCACTCCCTCCCTCTAGTCCTGGCCTATCCTGTATCTTTGAAGTACAGTATAAGCTCAGATAATGTAACAAATATACACTAATTAAATAAATCTAGCCAATGTCTTTTCACAGTTAACTCTTATGCCAGCCTGTAGGTTTAAAATGTAGTGCATGAAGGTATTCATCATGAGAATATTCAAAGTTTGGCAAAAAATTGGTTGTCACTATGCCTATTCTTTATTTGTGCACTTTCAAACTTGGTGTCTGAGATGGGCAAGAAGACGTCTGTCAAGCTGCAGTATTAACTAGTGGCCAATGACATTTTTCTTTAAAAATGCCAATGACTATGCCATTTAGCACCTCTGTGTAGGTTACTTAGTCAACAAGAAAATGATTCAGAAGTGATGGTACATAGCTATTTATGCAAATAATAATGCTTACTTTTCTTACTTGAGGGCATAGATAAAACTAAATGGAAAAAAATTCTGACCTTAGCCCTCTACAGGTTCATGCAATAATGCAGAAAAGTAAAATTATTTAAATTAATTACTTATCAATCAACTGTCACTTAAGGAGCACCTTGTGCTAAGTGAGATGATGAAAAAAATTAAGATATTAAGAGCTGAAGATACAACTGGGAGAAAAAAATCCATATGGGAAACTATCTGTAAATGAATCTTCATTCTGTATAATAGTACTAGGTGCTGCTTTCTGAAATGTGTTATACAATTACCGAAGAAGTTCTGAAACCTTTGTTTCCAAAAGTACTTTCAGTGGATACCTAACATATTTACTTTGTATTTTTTTTTTTTTTTTTTTGGTACTGGGGATAGAACTCTGGTCCTTGGCACTTGCAGGGCAGGCGGTGGAACCACTGAGCTAAATCCCCCGCCCCCCTAACATATTTACTTTGATAATTAGGAGTATGATGATATGCATTTCTGTATAGATATCTAAATGATTAGCTCTGCTAATTGGTCCTACAAATAGCTCAGC